GAGCAGATTTAGACTAGACATTAGGAAGAACTTCACAGTTCGAGTGGCCAAGGTCTGGAACAGGCTCCCAAGGGAGGTGGTTCTCTCCCCTACCCTGGGGGTCTTCAAGAGTTGGTTAGATATGCATCTAGCTGGGGTTATCTAGACCCAGAACTCTTTCCTGCCTATGCAGAGGGTCAGACTTGATGATCTATTGAGGTCCCTTCCGACCCTAGAATCTATGAAACAGAGTCAGGGAGGCAGAAGGACAGAGGTGAGGGGATGTGGAAGAGGAGATCCACTTTCCCATGCCAGCACTCCCAGCACCAGCCAGTCTGCTCCACACCAGCCTCTGCCAATGTGGGCCAAGGGCATAGGTTTATTGTTGGAGTCCAGATGCACCAGACCCCAGCCTCGGGCAGGTAGTGCTGAGGTTTCAGTGGCTACCTATCTCACTGAGGATGTGGAGCCGCTAGACTGCGCCCCTTGGCCTACTGGGTAAGGCATAGCCAGATGTGGTAGGATCTGGCCATGGTTGCCCGGGAACACCTGTCTTGTCCACTGACCAGTGTTCCAAGTGAGTTGGTGTTCAGCATTGCTGGGGATGTTGTGCCACCACACCACAGCTGCTTGGATCCTGTTTGGTGGAGGAGCTGGTGTTCCTCAGGTTGAACCACTGCTAGGGTTCCCCAAGCTCCACCTGCAGACAAAGTGAGTGCCACCCTCCTCACTCCATTTGCACCTATTTCCATTTTATTTTTTTAAACCAGTTAATGCCCTACTCTCAGAGCTGGAGGGGGCACTCACTGCAGGGGTAGAACATATTCCTGCTCAGCTTCCATGCCATGATGAATTCGGAGGTATGGACTGGGACTATGGAGAAGGAGGCCCCAGGTCTTTGGCATGACCACTAAAACTGCACTCTGCTAGGGTCAGGGAGGCCTGGTAGAGCCATTGGCAGTGTGGCGGACCTAGGAAATGCCAGGACCAAGGATCTCCCTGGTGAAAAGCGGGTAGGAGCCACCATAACCTTCAGCTACCACAAGCATCCACATAGTCCTGGCTGGGTAAAGCCCAGACCTGCCACATTTTTGATAGGCCTGAGGCTTCTTGGTTGCAGTGGAGCTGTGAGGCTCCAAGTGAGCTCAGCTTAGCTGTCTGGAATGCCAGCTTTCAGGTTGAAAACCCCTTTTTTCAGGCTGAGGAAGCACCTGCAGTTGGTGTGTGCGCTCTGTTTCTGGATGGAAAAGTGGAAAGTGAAGTGGCTGTGAAAAGTGGTTTGTAAATTCCCTTCAGTACCAGGCCTGAGAGACTGAAGACAGAATGGTATTTTTGTGAGAAATGTTCCCCCACAGGTAGTTGGGTATTCTTGTTTTTGATAGATTCTGGTGTGCAATTTGTGGGGGTACTGGAGATTGTTGGCAGGTTGTGTGTGTTGAGGTATAGGAAGCTTGCTTCTGGTGATGAGTTTAGGTTAGGAAGGTTCGGTGCTTGTTTGAATTTCCACAGCACTTTTCACAGGCAAGCCTATGAACTGCACTTCAGCAGCCTCCTAGGTACAGAAACTCATGGACTCAATATACACATTTGATCTATGACACACTATAACCTGCCCAACATCTGACTCCCCAGGTACCTCCCTACTTTTACCTGTGCTGCTACATCCCCCTTCCCCCTCTACCCCAACCTGTCCCCCAGTGCTGATGCCTCCATTTCCACTGACTGGCTTTCTTGCCTCAATTGCATGCCAGCCTCTGGCTTCTTTACTATAACTTCCATCCAGGAACAGCACACAACTGCAGGTGCTTCCTCAGCCTCATGAAGGGTTTTTTCAATCAAAAAGCTTGCTAAGATGTATTTCTCCAACTCTTCAGTTGATCTACTAAAAGATACAAGATTGACCCAAAGGACCTTGTCCACCAGTGCCATGTCCTTAGACCAACACCCCTAGTACCTGTTCCCTGACCAGAAAGATTCAGGGCCCTGAAGACATCCAAGCCCCAGGGCTGGGGCTGGCAGGGAGAGTTCTCTGGAGAAGAAGCTCCTGCAGGAAAGGAAAGAAAGGCTCTAGTCTGTGACAGTTTGGCTGTCTGAGATGCTAGTACTACTTACGTGTTGTTATTTAAAGTGGTGGACTGGACTGAGGATGTAGCGGGAAGGAGACCTCATTGGGGCACACTACCATGTCATGTAGAGGCCCCAGTGCCAGTGGGGGTGTGCCTTACCCCCCCCACCCCACACACACACACACACACACACACACAGTCACCCATGTCATGAGTTTTGCTTGTCAGCAGCCTGAGGTGCAGTTTCCCAGAAACCCCTGCACCTGTCTCCTTGAAAGCTGGCACACTCCATCACCTCAGGAGAGGCTACCAGGCCTGCAGTTTTTACTCTGCTGCACCTTAACACATGCACGTGACACAAGTTTTGCTTGTCAGCAGCTTGAGGTGCAGTTTCCCAGAAACCCCTTATAACATAGGGGCCCTTCTCTGAACCGATTTCCTTGTGACCCGCCCACCTGTTTCTGAGCTAACCGCCCACCTTCTCACCCACCACGCCTTGATGATAATTAGTTAATTGATGTTAATTAAGCAGGAGGCTGCCCGTTTCTTGCCCCGATGCCAGGGGGTGCTATCCGCAGCTCTGTACATCCCCTACACTGCAGCCCATGCCTCACAGATGGCATCCTCTGTTCTTACAGTCACCAGCCCCACTCCGGGCCCCAGAATCCTACTGTTTGAACCCCACCTGGATCCCTCCATTCAGACAGCTGACTCCACTTTCATTCTAGGCTACATAGCTCCCTGAGCTGCTTCCCCCTTGTGGGTGTGGTCCCCCCAGGACCTTTGGCTACACTGGCCCTGGCCCCACCTCCAGACCAGTCAGAACCCCAGGCCCTCAGCTCTGGGCATCTCTTGCGGTGGGCCTCTGGCCCTTCAACCCATCTTGTCCTGGCCCCAGCATTGACCAGTCAGGGGATGTCAAGACAGGTTTTTTGAGTCTATGCTCATATTCTCTCAGACCCTACAAGTGGGTAACCCACCTTCTGGACCCTACAAGGGGTAACCCACCCGGTTGTGGGAGCTGGGGTTAAGGTGCTCTGACCTGCCTTTCACCAGGGTGGTAACTGGCCTGGCATTTCCTGGGGGCTCCTGTACCACTGAGAGCTCCACCAGGCCACCCACTCCTGGCAGGGTGCAGTTTTAGGTCATGTCCAGGACCAAGGAGCCTCCTGACCATCCCCTACAGCTCCTCCCTTACCTCCAGAGTGTTCCATGAAGTCTCTCAGCCAGATGATGTTGCTGCACCTCCAGCCAGTAACAAAATGCCCTGCTTATATAGGCAGCCCTGAATTTAAAATGGCTGGCCTCATCAAACACCCATCAAGCACCTGCTGGCTGCTTGGCTTCAGTCCTTAAAGTGGCAGGCACAAACAGTGCCCAGCTACACCCCTGCACCTATATCCTTGAAACTTGGCAGGCTTGTGCCCTCAGAAAGGGCTACCCTTCCTGCTGTTTTCATCTAAATCTACTTTAACACACACACAACATGAGTTTTGGTTTCAAGACTTTGAGGTATCGTTTCCCAGAAATTTCTGCACTTATCTCCTTCAAGCTTGGCAGGCCTGCTTCATGCCCTCAGAAGGGGCAATTGTTATCTGAATCAGCTAAAAAATTACCAAGTTATAGGTATTTTAGTGATTCCCCATTATTGTTTATGGCCTAATATCTGAATCTGTCTGAATCTGTGCCAAATCTTCCGAAGCCGATTCAGCTGAATCAATTCAGGACAGTGATCTGAATCTCTGAATTGAATCACTGTTCCCCGAATCAGCCGAATCTGAATTGAATACTTCCCTATTCGCACAGGCCTACTAACCACCACTTCATTATATGTATTTATAGAGATAAGACACATTTGGGCCATTATCTTCATTTTGCTGCTAGGTTGTAATGTATTAAAAATAATAATAACAGTGAATAAATTAAATAAATTATTGTGTTTCTGTTAAAAATTATTAAATCAACTAAATAGTTTAAAGTACTTTTAAAGGACTTTTTTTTCTTTACTCTTTATATTTTTTATTATTTTCACAATATTAAGACTTTAAAAACTTTAAAATTAAATATGTTTTCTTACAGATCTGTGCATGTAGGCACACTGACACTTCAAGTTGTTCTCGATATTGCTTAGAAAATAATACAGTATTTCCAGAAGCATTTGTTTTGGGTGATGGCAAAAAAGTTTATAAACTAAAAAGTCTAGTGAAATTGAGTTTACCAGTCTTTTATGTATCCCTGAAAGAAAAAGGAGGGGAAAAAAATGAGCACCCAAATTTCCATAAAATGAAGAAAGAGAAATACATGAAACATAAGTAAAAAAATTGTCACAAGAAATACAGCCACCTACTGGTCAGTCACTGTTTTTCACTATAGGCTGGAAGGAAACATTGAATTACATGAGAAAACATCTCATAAAACAGCTCATAAAGCTATGCAACATAACGCCATTTAATAGGTGATGGCCAGGCATGAAAAGACTTTGTGTGAATTCTATTTAGAGAGACACCCGAAAGCTCACCTTAACATGTTTGGTATCTAAGATCAAATGAAACAGCAAGTGTTGAGTCCAACATGGCTATAGGTTTGTAAGGTTGACTTAGAATATAATTTCTACCGAAGCTTCAGTGAGATGAGACTGTAATTGCTAGGGCATTGAAGCTCCTGGTTATGCAAACTTGGTTATGTAAACTTCAACTGAAAATCTCCTGAGAACAGACATTATTTCCTGGCTTATGTTGGGTTAGAAATTAAATGATTTATCTTGAGGTGTTTGGCACTTCGTGGCTGCATCTGCAAGAGCAGAAGCTCACAAAAATTAAAAATATAATTTGAACAGGTGGAAAACTTAAACAAACTCGAGATGTCTCAAACTAACAAGGCTTAACAAACTAGCTAACTAATGTAGGACACAATACATGACAAAGCCACAGCTACTTGTCTCTGGGGAATGCACATGTGATGTGTGGTTTGGTGTGGCAAGTTATCACAGGGGTAATAGGGGAAGCTGAGGCTAGCACTAGGCTGGCCACAGCAGCCTTACCTGGGGTCCTGGCAGCCTCCTGTGGCTGCAGCAGCAACAATCCTGCTAGACGGAGCCTGACTGGAAGCAACAGTATGGCTCTGGGCTGCCTGGCTCTGCTTTTCAGCAGTGCGCACTGCCTGTGTATGTGTTGCTCCACTTTTTTTTTCCATGGGTTTTTTTTGACCCCCTGCTGCAGAGGAAAAAAAAAAAAGCAGAGCAGCATGTGCACAGGCAGCATGCCCTGGCAGTGTGGAGAGCACCTGACTGTGCGGTATGTGGCACTGCAGATGTGTTTGTGGCGCCACATACAACATGACCACGCTCATTTGGCTGCACCTGATGTGTTTCTGTTTCATACCCAAGTTAAAAGGCTGTTCAATAATTTAGGGTATGGCATTATCATCTTGATACAGATTAAAATACAAATATTTTAATACGTATCAATTGCAAGTATAGCAGAACTAGTTTGAAGATACAGTTCTGATCCAGATCTAGACTTAGTTTTGACTGAAATTAATGTGTAGATTTAATGGCACCAAAATCTTACAAATGGTTCTTGCAACGTTTTTGGTCTATAATGGTGTATAGTTGTAAAATCAGTCATCTTGGGTGATTTCTAAATTATTAAAAGATCAAGATATTATTATGTGCAAACTTAACACTGTTTTAAGTCAAATCTCTTGAGAACTGATAGTGAAGTAAACTAGTTACACTGGGAACATCTACACATTCTGTTAAGATGATGTGATCGACTGCGCCAGAGTCAGCTGCTTCTGGCCACAGCGTCTGCATGTGTGCCTCAGACCGCAGCACTTTGAGCCAAGGCGGGGCAGCCCTGGGCCTACACGGGGCCCAGGGGTCATCCCTCAGCCTCAGGTGCTGGCACTGGGCGGTGGAGCAACTGGCTGGGGCATGAGGATACTAAAGTGTGGGGCTAGGTGGCAGGCAGTCCCTACATTTTAGCACCCTAATGCCCCAGCCAGCCCTTGTCACCATCTACATGTGTGTTTCAGCGTATGTAATTACTCTGCCATTATGCCATCAGATAATACTGTCTCCGACAGTGCTGTCTTATAGTGGAGTCAATTAATTTACTGCACCCTAATACTGGTGCATGTATAGACAGTTATGCTTAAGTGAGGAGGTAATTAGTCAACTCCATGGTAAAGTGCATGTGTAGACGCACCCACTACTGAGACTTAAAGAAAGTCCATTACTTGTTTTGAATCCAGCCCAGATTTATAACAGTTGAACCAGGTTCAGATCTCTAGATTTGACTTTAAAGATGTTCAAATTCTAGGGTCTAGTTTTGGTTCATCTGTAAACTATACCATATCATCACTGACATAAGTTTTTTTTCATCAAAGGTCTTAGGTAGATGAAATGTTAATACCAGTATAAAAATGTAGCAGACAGACAATGAAAAATCTTTTAAGTGGAGTAACTCCAAATTTAGTGGATACATTCTTTCCATTCTCTAGACATTTTGATTTAACATTACCTCAGAGGAGGTTTAAATTTAATCTGTACATGTCCATCCATAGATGGAGGCAAAGAAAAACTGACTAATACCTGTCCTCCAGTTGCCTAGCAACAAGATGCAGTAATAACCACCCACTGTGCATGCTACACAGGATATCTACTTATCTGTCTGTTCCGATAGTGGTGCAATTTACATCTGTACGTAAAATCAGTATTAATAATATGGGGGTATGTTCCATGCACAGAGCTCTGTGCAATAATAAAAGGACTCCATTTGCACTGCAACAAGTTAGATTTTATTTGAAGTGCTATATGCTCAGTGCTGTTGCTTGCAGCCATGAGGTACAGTGTGTGTTCCAAGTACTTCAAAATTCTCCAACCACATTAAGCTTCCTGTTGTCACCTTCCAAATCATCCCTACTATAACTTGTGTTCTAACTTGCAGGAGCCAATAA